TGGATATGAAAAGTTGACAATGATATTACGACTCACCATTCAAATTTATTTACTCAGCCTTGAGTTTGAATTCTGGATCTATTCAAGGCAAGTGGCTTGAGGATTTCTAATCCACCCAGGCTTTGATTTCTCCATGTGTAAAGTCACAAAGATCAACAGTAACACAGGCATTGATATTTGCAAAGATCTTAGCACAGTTTGTCATACATTGTAGGTAATCAATAATTGGTGGCGGCTAGATGAAAAATAAGGACAATATGGAAGTGTTGTCTTCTAGATAAGTAAATTAGATAGAGTGTCAATGGTATAAAATTGTGTTTTCATTACTGTGTTTGATGTTTTCCCATTTATTCCATGGTGGCCTCATTTGGGACCTATCCATGCCTTTGTTCCAAGCGTTAAGACCAAGGCTATTTCCATTTCATGCACACAGCCAACCCAAGAGCCTTGTGTCAGTTGTTAGGAACATTCCAGAATCAGCGATAGGGTGGGGTTGTGCCTACTGGCTGAAGTTCTCATTGGATCTAGAATTTAAATATACACCCTTGGTTCTAGGACTAGTACTTTCCTGTTGTAGAATGTGTATCTTTGCTTAAATCTAAGTCAGTGTTTGTTGATGATTTGAATGAATAAATGTAAAAATGAATCTCGGAATACAATAGCTCCATAGAATTAAGGTTTTCCCAATTATCTGCTGCTGTTTGTTTCAGGGACCTATCGGAAATAGATAGCATTCTTACAGGTGACCTTTAACTTACTAACTTGCTAAGAAGACAGCAAACAGGAAAAAAGTGGGAGTTCCTCATAACTAAAACACATTTTTGTGAAGTCCATGATGGATATTCCAGGTGTTCTGGCAGGCATCGTCCTAGTGAAGATTTAAGCCAAATTTCAGCTCATTGTCTAATAATATCCAGACTTGTTTCCCTAATAATTCTAAGAATTCTGTAATTACATTTTATCAGACTCCTTTGAATGCAATGAAAATTTTTTACTGAATATGGCCTAGGTTCGATGGCAAAAGGATTAGGAAATGGAATGGAACTAACTTTCACTGAGTGCCTGACATGTGCCAGATATTTTGTACATTTATTTAAGCTTTGTAACCATTTTGCAGTTGAGGGGGCTAGAGTTCAGGGGGCTTAAATACCTTTCCGTGGCCTTTCAGGGAGCAAGTGGCAGAGCCAGGATTCAGATCCAGGTTCATGTGCCCACGACTCATTCTGACTCTGTAACTTATCATTTGTCCTTTTATTTCCAGTAAATGTGAAAGATACGTGAAACAGACTTTAGCAAGTGATAGGGAGGATTATAAAGAACTGAGTGTGTTATGATGAAGGGCCATACTGCTTGCCTATTAGTATGTGATTTGGGACCTTAATTTACCCAACTGTAAGGCCACAGAGTTGGACTAGATGACCTCTGAACGGGGTGACCACATGGCCCCATTTGCCAGGGCAGCCCTGGCTTATATCTGTGGTGCCAAGGCAACGATTATTAGCATCTTTCCACTTTAAAGTGTTCCACTCTGGGTCATAAATTCCAAGCCTGTCCTTATATAAGGCTCTTTCCAAGTCTCAATTTCTATGATTTCCAATTGAATCTACTAATTCCTTTGAGAACTGAAGTAACATGAATTTTCGTTTCCCAGCCTGTGAAGTGTAAGGGGCTGACAGCACCTGAGGTGACTTTCATCTGGAGGTTGTTTGCATTTCTGATAGGGATGATTTTTCTGCCCTTACTGCTTTCCTTTAAAAGTACACTAGTAAATCCCCTTCTAGTCAATTTGGTTCTAGTTAGTTTGAGATCATTATATAAATATTTGTTTTCAGTTCATACTAATAGTGGCTACCATTTATTGAGCACTTAGAGAAGTCAGGGTGAGTGCGTTATCATTTAGTGCACTTATTAATGCTGTAAGATAGCTCACTTTCTACATAAGGAAACTGAGGCTTAGAGAAGTTAAGTAGGAGATGTAGCCAGGTCTTCCTAATCTCTTAACTATTATAGTATACTGAGATACGTACACAGGCACACCTACATACACAGCTGTTAATTTAAAATCACACAAAAAAAAGGCAAGACTGGCTATTCCCTAAGGTTCTTTCAGGAGCTGTATTTTGCATAGCTGCATTTGGATAGTTTCAAAACAAATTCCCTCTGATTTCCAGTAGCAGTCTCTTTCTTTCAACCCCATAAGCATCAGATTTAGAATTTTAGAGTTTTGCCCATCCACCCAAATCTGGTCCTGTCTTCTGAGGGAAGGCCTCCTAAATTCCCATTGGCCTTTCCTATATTTATCAATGTCAATACTAGTTTTTGTAATTTCATCTTCCATTGCTTCTACCATCCATCTTTACCACAGAGTAGAAGCATCTGCCTCAAATAAAGACAAAAGATTTTGATGAAGAGACAGGTTCTCAGGAAAAACAAGGTATTAGAAAGTGGATTCGATGAATATTTACTTACTTATAGAGACCTTTTCTTCTTCTTCTTCTTTTTTTTTTTTTTGACAATGTCTTTCTTTACCAGAGTATAAAACAGAAAACAGACACTTGCTTTTTTGTTTACATTTACATAGACAATACTTAAATAAAAACCACCAGTTGACACTCATATCATTCTGCTTTTATTTATTTGGTGGCTAACTTACAAAGACACAGATGTCTTGGATAGACTCTGTCCCATTTAAACTATCCCCATGACTTAGATACCAAAATGTGTTTGTTTACATAGTGCAGTGGTATGAAAAATGTTTTTTTCTTTCTTTACAGTCCCTGACTATAAACAGGGGAAAATTAATTTCATACCAAAAATTCGGGGCACTTTAATAATTATCCCATCCCATATCTGTTACTAAGATAACACAATTGGTATTACAAGTTAAAATATAAAGGCCTAACCGTTTGTTACAAATATGCAAATAACCCGCTACTTAGACATAAAAAGTTGATTTCTTTCCAATCACAAAGTAAGGCACCATTGGATTAAACACTTTCTAGGCTTTTACTAAATAAAATGCATAGTGAAATAAATACCGAACACTGAATTTTAATACTGTAATACATTTCAATATAAAATGATATGTGAATGTTAAAATACTGTATTGCATCTTGAATACATTACCTGGAAATTTTATGGAAAAACACATGTAAGCTCTGATTTCAGGGAAGAAAATTATTCATTTTTGTGATTTACCATAGTTGAAAATTTTAGCATAGAACTACTCAAAGTTTTGGATGCAATTAGGTTGCTAACTTTCAAAGCAAGAATGTAAGTGTATTCATGAAACATTCACTTAAAAAAACACATTCTAAAACATCTCCCCCCTGGGTGAATAGTAACTTTGAGTTGTGACCCTGTTTCAGACTTTAGGATGGTACCTGCAAAGTTGAGATATACAAGGAAATTGGCTCTTCGTACTTCCCTGTACAAAATCCAGACCCCCTTTCTTTGGGTCACACTTTCCTCTGCCATATTTGCTAGCAAGGCCTCTTTTCTGAAGTGGGTCATTAGGCTTTCTCATAGGAGTTTTAATCAACTATAGATTCAAGAATGATACCTGATCAAAGAATCCCAAATAAAACGATGCTGCTATATTACCAAAATATGAGCAATACCATTTTTGGGGGGAGGAAATACTTTGCCAAGCTTGTTATACCTTTATATTTCTTGATTCTTTGGGTAAAGGACCCCAAGTGCCTGAAAGACAAATGAAAGGTAGAGGAGGGAGGGACCCAAGTTCTCTAATGTACTAAGCCCAGGACTTTGGCAAGAAAAGTTATAAAAATACAGTATATTCAAATGGGCAACATCATAATTACTTAGACATCCCATTTAATAGAACTCTAAGTTCTTTTGCTTTTATATAAATGAAACAGTTATTTCTTCTATAAATAGGAATGCTTTTTTCAAAATTTTCTTTGGATTGATTTCTTGTTAGCATCTCTCAGTCACAGATGAACAATACACTGAAACCATGATACAAACTTTAGGTAGATATACATATACATTTGTGACCATGTGCTTTTGAAAAACAAGTAATGGTAATTTCAAACATAATCAACTGTTATAAAATAACTAAATGGACATTTTTTCCCTAACTCTGTAGCTAGATTAAAAATCCCAGTAATGTCTGTAAACAAAAATCATACAAAAAAAGGCAAGGCTGGCTCTTCCCTAAGGTCCCTTCGGGAGCTGTATTTGCATAGCTGCATTTGGATAGTTTCAAAGCAAATTCCCTCTGATTTCCAGTAGCAATCTCTTTCTCTCAACCCCATAAGCATCAGATTTAGATTTTTAGAGTTTGCTCATCCACCCAAATCTGATTCCTTCTTCTTAGTTTCTGATTTGCTACCTTTCCCTGACTACCCCCTCCCCGCCCCCACTACTAAGCCTACAAACCTCCCGGCCTGAGGAGCAAGCTGGGCGGCCTCTTTCCAATGGGCAAGGCAGAAGTCCAGCTGACAGGTGATCTCCAGCCAGCTGGTTCTGAGCCCAGAAGCCCAACAGGATTTCAGTTTCCTTGCAATGGCTTTATTCCACGTAACTATAAACCCTATTAGAGTAATTTCTGACCTTGGGACTGTGAAGCAACACTTGTACACAGATACTAAGGGAAGAAGGAAAATAAGGGAGCACAATCTAAGGTCAAGCTGTCTGCCAGGCAAGGTGTTGGGTCCTAACCTTATTTTTAGTGACCTCTTGAATTGCTAAACATCATTGTGCATTTTTTTTAAAACAGGAGGTATTTGTGCTAGCCTCTGTCTTTTAGACCTGCATCGTCCAATATGGTAGCCACTGCCATATGTGGTCACTGAGTCCTTGAACTGTGACTAGTCCAGATAGGGATGTGCTTTAAGTGTAAAACACAAAACCAGATTTTGAAGCATTAGTACAAAAAATAATGTAAAATATCTTATTAATAATTGTTATTTTAATTGCAGGTAAAAATGATATTTTGGATAAAAATATATTAAAATTAATTTCACCTATTTCTTTTCCTTTTTTTATTGTGGCTACTAGAAATATTTAAATTGTATATGTGGCTCACACTATATTTCTATTGGACAGTCTGTCCTAGAGCCTACCTCAGGCTGCCAAAGATCATAATCTATAACCGCAAAAATGTCATGTGCACCCTTGCTCAGCAACTTGTGTAGGTGGTCTGTGGTTCATGGAAACAGACAGGAGGCCAAGCACGCAAAAATGGCATGGAAGCAAGCAGCTCTCAGGGACTTTAACATTATCTGTAGCAAACATGCAGTGAATGTTTGAATCTGGTTGGTTGAAAGCTGGGACACAGTTCATCTCTGCCTACTTGCCGTAAAAGCTAGTTGAACCCAAGCAGTCAGCACTGGTGGGCTGTAGCTGAAGCAAGCAATAGCTTTGAGGATATACACAGAATAAAAATCTAGGTGCATTCATTGGATTCCCACCCCCCACACACATATTCCCACATCACCCTCCCTTCTTCCCTACTCCCAGTATGAAAGGGACAAGGAAGACAAGGGGAGGAGGGTGTGCAACTCTTGATAGCAACAACAGAAGTAGCTCTTGGACTCGGGTGGAGAAGAGCAGGCTAGGATCACCTTGGGATGGGAGGAAGGGGTGGGGCACCCCTTTCTCTTCGGTTGGATCCACCTTGATGAAAAAATAGACAAAATATAAATTTTGGTTAGAAAGCTTATGTTCTCACTGTAGAAATTCAAGGATGTGTGCAAAGGTATTCACAACCATACACCCTAACCAGGGATGGAAATAACTGGCACAGGTGGATGAGAAGTGAGGGGATGGGAAGAAGCAAGTAAGGTTATCTGAACAAACATTACTAAGGATGACCCACCACTGGCTACCGAGTACTTGCATAAAGTTAAGAAAATTTAAAAAATTGCTTCTTATCACAAACGTAGTATGCATTTATTATAGGTTTAGAAAAAATAGATAAGTAAAAACAAAGCAAAAGATTCACCCATGTTTGCATCACCCAGAGATAACAACATTATATATTTTCTATATATGAACAGTTCCTTTTTGTCTCCACCCAGAGATAACAACATTATTTATATATTTTCTATATATGAACAGTTCCTTTTTGTCTTCCAAAAATTAGGTCATATATAGTCATTTTGAACGTCTTTCAAAGTCATTACTCTTTACACATGTAATTATTGACACACTGCATTCTATGCATATTTGTAAGCTATCCAGGTTTAAGCCATTTACAATATTTGAAGTTCATTTGTCCCACACACATTTGTCTGAGGATCTTACTATTAGGCATAGGGCCAGGTGCTCAGATGCTTAAGCATGTCTACCAGGGGCACATGGCAATTGAGTGTGCCTGCTGAGGCCACTGCTCTGAGACTCAGGTGAGCTGGCACCAGCAGATTCCTCAGCAGGCACACACACACTGATCCTAGTAGCCCTGTTAGGGATTTCTGTGATAGAACCAAGTCTCTGAGCAAGGACAGGAGTCAGAGGAAAACAGTGGCATCCCACTGTCTTGCTTGTTCCTCTTACTATCCCAACCAAGTCTTTTCTTGGGCAGGCATCTGAGGAAGGACATCTGGTTTCACACCAGCCATCTGTCATGGGGCCTTGACTGTCAACTGCTATACCACAGGGTTAGCAAAACAAGGGCTGGCCTTGTGCAGAGCTTGAACTAGGTGGCACTGCTCAGGGCCGTCTGGGTGCCCTCCCAGGCTGTGGGCCTGGAGGCCAAGGTAGCAGGAGCAGAATAAAACCATTTGATAGTACTTTATGTGTTTTTTAGAGAGATGATTCTTTATCAGTATAAAAATATTAAAATGCACAATGCTAGAAATTTAAAGTAAATCTACAAAAAGAGGTTTGGGGGAGCAGTGGAAATTAATCCACCAATTTAAGAAATATTTTTAAGTGTCTACCATGTTTCAGGCTCTGTGCCACTCCAGGAAGATACAACAGTGAGCAGGACATAGTTCCCGTCTTCAAATTTCATAAAGTCTTAAAGACAGGAGGATGGGGAAGGGAATGTGATCAGCTATTAAATAACAAATCTAGAGGGGCTGGGGAAGATGGTTCTGTAACTGACTTAATATATGTAATCTGTAATATTTTCAACATAAAGGTAAGTTAAAACACACACACACACACACACACACACACACACACACACACACACACACGTAGGCAAAGTAAGTGCATTGTGCCACTGAGGCATTCTTTTGCTTTACTAAAGCAATTCTAATAACCATAACCTACATGTCTTTTACCATAGTAACCTACTTTTGCCCACCTGTGTGTGTGTGTATTAACATATTTAGAGTCTATGTGAACAACTCCTTAAAGTGAATTCATTTATTAGTGCCCAAGAGGGAAGAAAAGCAGGCTGTATTCTTACCAGATAGAAGCCCCTCTTACGACATAAACACACACACTACAAACATGCATATATAAACACGCAGAGCTCAAAGAAATTTGTCCCATGTGAAGAATCATTTTTCACCCAAAATTTCAACCACCAACTCTTGTATGATAATTTTTATTATAACTATACCTCTTTTATTAGGCGTCGTCTAGGAATGCAGTATTCCACATAAGTGATTTTCCCCAGGAATTAAACTTCTCCTTTTAAGCAGCAATATTCTGTTTACTTCTATTTGTTCATGAAAATTTTCCTAAAATATTTTCTAATTCTTTGAATTCATTAGCACAGGCACAAAGCACAATTTGACCTATCTTTGATAACCCAACAGAGACATCTAGTGTTGTCCTGTGCTCTAATATATAGCACAATTCTGTGTCCCTATCTCCTCCTTTGCCACCTATCACTTCTCCCTGAAGTCAGTGATTTTGCTTCTAACCAACCTTAACTTCAGTTGATACTAATCTGCTCTAAGGCTGGGAATCAACTAAATATTAAGAACTCTGTGCTAAGAGTCAGCAGGCTCTGAGTATGTGTAAGGAGCTCAGCCAGGGAGTGAGGGCAAGGGGTGTGTGTGTGTGTGTGTGTGTGTGAACATTTTAGGGACATTGTGACTGTTATCTGACATGTTCAGATGCTTTTTCTCCACACACTTCTGCTTTGGGAGTTTGGTTCTGAAGCTAAGCCTGTCACAGGTCTGAGTCTCATCAGTGATATATGTATATTTTACGCTAATTCTTTTTCAGTTCTATACATTTGTTGTAAAATTTTAGTTTTCTGTTTCCTCTTCTTGTTCACATTTCCCCCCAATAGTGGAAAAGTGAGTCACTTCTTATGGTAGTATTACATATATTAGCAAAAAAAACCCAAACAAAACAGAAGCAACCTAAGTATCCAATAATGGTAAACTAAATTATTATATGCAGACTTGATGGAAACTTGTATCATAAAAACCATGTGATAAAATAGGGAAGTGTCTACTAAACAATGTTATATAAACCCCACTACCAAAAACTTCACTCTCTAACTATAACCATATAAATTAATCAGAATTATTAGATGGATAAAAATTAGATGAGAACCTGGTAAATGAAAATATGTGGAGAGATTATGGGTACACTTAAATTTTTCATGTAATACTCTATAAAGCTATAATTATAATATATTTAAAAAGATCAAGGCCATTTCAATAAGTTTTTGTTATAATTAAGACATTTTGCTTGTATCAAAACTAATAGGAATAGAAAGAAGATGGTTCTATTTGTGCCATCTTAGGAAGATCAAAATGGGGGGCAATTGTCTAAACAAGCAAAATAATACAATTTGATCTACTAGCAACCCAACAGTGTTTGGGGCTTGTGATGACACATTAAAATAATTGTTTCTCATATGCATTCTGGATTATCTCCATTTTCTCATCATGTGCAGAAGGGGAGTTTACCAGAATTTAGATGGCATCAAACCCGGAAGTGACTTCTCTGAAGTCTCCCACTCCAGGCAATAGGCCTGGATTTTCTATGCACACCGCAATTGTATATAAACCAGAGTTTTATCAATTAGAGTAGGAAGCCACCAAAAGCCCTTGCAGAAATACTCACTCCGGCTTTCACTTCTTGCCAATTTACTGGGATAACTTTTGGTTGTTGGCACATATGGCTCTGGAGGTGGCAAGTCAGAAATCGGATGGAAGTTGAATCTGCTTTCCCACTCATCTGAGAGAGAGAAACAAACAGTGCCTTCAGAACAGGCAATCTGCCCTGAAAACATGTCATGTAAAGCACAGGATGAAATAGAACTGAAGAGATTGCTTCTAGTCTTACGTCCAGAAGTTTAGAGAAAAGCTGGAAGTACTAGAAATGTCACTGACATCGCACATGAATAAAATATATGGGTCTGCCAATCAAACCAAAGCGAGATCCAAGGGATTTTAAGTAGAGCGATGCTCAGGAGCTGGGGGCCAAGGCTTGGGACACCTCTCTTAACTAGTCCTCCCACCAGTGGGAGGAATGCCTGGGACCCTCTGAACAGAGGAAGAGGGAAGCTGCTTAATACCTCAGGTCATTGGGCCTCTTCCCTACAGCAAACTGTTTAGAAAGGGAGGTAATAAGAAGCTAATTTACAAATGGTTCTTTCCAGAATTCTGGTATCGCTGGAAAGTTAACAAATATGACTCAAACAAGGAAGAGCGAAAATGACCTGACTTTTCGGAAAGTGGAGGGGGATCACTATTTTTGATTTGAAATCATGGTGGGCCCTAAAATGGTTAGAATAGTGATTTTCAACTGCTGTGCCACAAGAATTTTTAAAACATGCAATACCTGACTATTTAGTCAGGGGCACTGACCTCTTTTCCCTTAGATTGTCAAATTAAAAAAATGACAACAGCCAACACAATAATAGCCATCCAGTGTGAATGGATCACAATTAAACCTATTTTTCTTGTCAGATTGGCAAAAAATACGTTTTTTGCTGTGCCTCAGAATTTTAGTAATTAGTTTGTGTGTGTCATGGGATGAAAAAGGTTGAAAATCACTGGGTTAGAGCAGTGTAGCATGATGACAATGAGGGTCGAAAAAGGTTGAAAATCGCTGGGTTAGAGCAGTGTAGCATGATGACAATGAGGGTCATGCAAACAAGAAATGTTAATGCAAACACACACCCCAATACAAATCTCCCATTCAGCCGCTGCTCTACAGCTTGTAGGATTCCAAGGAGCTGGGACCACACCTCACCTTCACATGAAGAGTCTTGGAAGCCGTTTCTAATTGATGTTGATGGTGGAGGTGGGGGAGGCACCCCAGCACCAGGCCTGTCTGGAGGAGGGGGGGGCCGGGGCCCACTCCTGGGACTGTCTACTCCTCTGGACGGCAACTGCGGGGTGGCAGGCAGGGCCCGAGATGTGCTGCCATTTCTGTTTATTGGAGGAGGAGGTGGGAGAGGGCCTGGAGCAAAAGAAAAACCAACATTTAGGGCCATACCTTACATTCTCCATCACCAAGGTGCAGTTATTGTGTGCCTGATGGATACAGGCCCTTTACTAGAGAACATGGAGAAATGGTGGACACTTCCTAGGAGATTTAGCCAAGCAAGGAGTAGGCACATATAAACTCAGAAATGCACATATGTATACACAGATGTGGAATGAGTGCATATTGACAGCTAAGTGGCTGTTTGGGCTGTGAGTATTGAGATTGGAGATGATACAGTTGACAACAGGTGATAATCTGTTTATACAGACAATCGTATACATACTTAAAACACATTTTAATATCATTTTAAGTAGCCCTTGAACTAATTACTGCAACATGATACTTATTAAATAAATGCTGTATTAAAAGAGGATTTTAAACGAAGAATAAGATAGCTATGAAGTTATTTTAGATCTTCAGATGGGTTAAATTCTTTAAATTCACAGTATTATTGCTAATTCCACGGGCACACAATCTCTTTCCAGACAGAAGTGGGTCAGGAAACCCAATGTTAGTCATCCTGAGAATAGAAGTTCCTTCTTGGTTCTTCCTCTTTCGGGGGGCGATTAACGCAGGGAGTGACAAACAGCTCACCAGTGTGCATGGCTAGAAATGCTGGTGCAGGACCCTGACCCTGAGCAGGCTGCTTGCCTACGGAGCTTGATTTCCTATTTACAAAGAGCACCAAATAGTTACCTTTCCCACAGCACTGTTGCCAGGAATACTTAGTCAAAAAACAAATAAAAAGCACTACATAAGTATTTGAAACCATTTTTTAAAAATGCAGTGGTATGGTAGAATTAGAAAACTTTAAGTTCCTAGAAAAATAACACAGTAAATTCTTTTTGATAATAAAAAGGAACCTATCTTGCCTCTTCCATCCTCCAAGTGCAGAGGCTGTTTGGGTCGTGAGTAAAATAAACAAAAAGAAGAACTTAAGCATTTCCTGTAAACCAAAATGACCTTAGTAACTCCTGATCTTCAGCAGTGTGCTCCACTTGTCCGATGCTGACGTTTTATGTAACACACATCTTAGTGCTATAAATATAAGTATCTCTTACTAACTGCATGTTCAGAATCCAATCAGAGGACCTACAAAGGAACGACTCGTCCATCGCAGACATCCCTGCCTGAAGTCTGGGCTCAGACACATGATGAAGACAGGAGGCAAGCCCTGCCCTGGTCGGTCTCTCACCCTGGGCAAGCATAATAGGAAACATTTCTATTTCCCACTGGCAGCATAATAACAAAAATGGTCATTTATGTTGGGAAATAACCACTATATACACTTAATCTCGTTTGATTTTTATAACAGCCCTGAAAGGCAGAGACAGCAGATGAGGTGTTGAAAGTTAAAAAGACCAAGTCAGGAGGCTAGTGAGAACCAGGATTTGACTACAAATCTGTCAAATTTCAAAGCCTATTCTCCTAACAATGAAGCTAAGCCACCTCTCAAAATCCAGGTGGTACTCGATGATCTCGCATATGTTCCTTGTGGGGATGTAAATTGGTAGGAATTTTCTAGAGGCCAATTTGGCAGTACCTATGAAATCCATAGTTTACTGTGCACACCCATTGACCTAGACATTCCATTTCTAGAAATTCATTCCAAGGAAATACATAGAGATGTGCACAAATATTTGGTTACAAGAATATATTCCTGCATTATCTGCAACAGCAAAAATCTGAAGATGGCCTATATGACCAAGTGAGGGATTAAATAATCAAGGTATTTTGTAGGATTTAATATTATGCAGTCATTAAAAGTCAGATTGTGCCGAAATGGGTTTGGCTCAGTGGATAGAGCGTCGGCCTGCGGACTGAAAGGTCCCAGGTTCGATTCCGGTCAAGGGCATGTACCTGAGTTGCGGGCACATCCCCAATAGGAGATGTGCAGAAGGCAGCTGATCGATGTTTCTCTCTCATCGATGTTTCTAGCTCTCTATCTCTCTCCCTTCCTCTCTGTAAAAAATCAATAAAATATATTTAAAATAAAATAAAAGTCAGATTGTATCATATCAGGAAATGTTAATGAAATATTGTTAAATAAAAAGCAAATTAATACCAAACAATATACGTAGTATGATACTAATTTTATAAACATATATATGTATATATATATTTTAAAAGACTGAAAGAATTTTTATTTTTATTTTTATTTATTTTTTTAAAAAATACATTTTATTGATTTTTTACAGAGAGGAAAGGAGATGGATAGAGAGTTAGAAACATTGATGAGAGAGAAACATCGATCAGCTGCCTCCCGCACACCCCCCGCTGGGGATGTGCCTACAACCAAGGTACATGCCCTTGACCAGAATCGAACCTGGGACCCTTCAGTTCACAGGCCAACGCTCTATCCACTGAGCCAAACCGGTTAGGGCTGAAAGAATTTTTAAAAACTGTTATGATTATTTTTAGATGGTGGTGGTGGTAGGATTATAGATGATTTTAATTTTCTATAATAAACAGGTCTGACTTATGTAATTGAAAGGAACAATAAATGTTACAATTATATGTGACTGCCCTATTTTGGGGGAGATTTAATCTGTTGATTCCTCTATTTGGTAGGGCCATGCAGTCAGTTTCTCAACCACTTTGGGGGGAAATCCATAGCTTTTGGATAAAAAGAAGACACTGTGTTTCATTCATCTGACTACCTGTTCTTGTTAATTCACTGCAGACTACGTAATGAGATGCCACAATGTCTAGGGACTGGATTGAACGGATTAGTAACTTCGTATGTTTGGAGTGGACTCTCCGTGGCAGGGCGGTTTGAAGGAGTGGTTTTCAAACTTTCCTGCACATTACAGTCACTGGGACATTGCAATCCCAGTATCCTGATGCCCCGTCTGCAACCCAGACCAACAAAACCAGAAGCCCTGGGGAAGGGGCCCCGGCATCGTGCTTTTTAAAGCTCCCCAGGTGATTGCAGTATATGGTCAAGTTTGGGGCCACTGGTTTAAAAAATGGTGTTTATTAGGTTCCCGAGGTCACAGGGTCAAAGGTCCGTTAACTTTGTGGAGAGAAAAAAAAAATGCCCCATTTCCAAACATCTTGCCTGTATAAGGTTAAATTTTAAAAGTAGATAGTTCCCTTGATTCCATCAATAACTGATGCAAAACAAAAAAGCACCTATTATAATTAGCAGAGAGTATGATGCTGGGCAATCCTCACACTTCATTTCATACTCTGAAAGCTACTCTCTGACTCAGGTTTCTCAGCCCTAGGCAGGGGCCACAGATGTGCTCCAGCAGGTCCTCCAGCCCATGAACTACCGTGCGTAGCTCGAGTTTATGCTTATGAGCATTTCTGTCAAGCGAAGGCCTATGCCTTTATCTGATTCTCCCAGGGCTCTGTGTGCCGAGAGGTGAGCCAACAGCCAAACGGGCTCTAACATTTGTCTTTACTGTGCAGGGAAGCGGCCGGAAAGCTTGACAGCTAAAAAGAGAAGTGCAGGAGAAGTTCATTCCCTCTTAAGTAACTGCCCTTCTTGTTGGAATAACGGGCCCTCTTGCAGGAGACGGGAACTTAGCTCCCCTATTAGGACATGTGAAACCACTTCAGGGAGGCCTGTTGCAGAGTGGTGAGATGAAAGATAAGAGTTCTAGCCTCTTTGGTATTAACTAGTTTGTGATCCTCTCACTTTCTTGCTTCCTCAGTCTCAGCTCTAAAACACGGACAGAAACAGCTATCAGCCCGCTTCCCTCGGGTTTGCACGCGGCCAAGATGCAATCAGGCTTTCAGCTGGACTCCGTTCAGCCCCTATCAGGAGTGACACGTGCAGGCTGGGTTTCGGGGAGACCACCCACCCCACGCCTCGCCATACCTGATCGGCCCGGCGGGTCCCTCACTGGGGGCGGGGGTCTCTCACTGGGCGGGGGAGGCAGAGGCCCCGAACGTCCAGGCGAAGGCAGGGGAGGTGCGGACGAGCTGAGGGACAGGTTCCGCTGCGGGAGCCTC